GTGTGTAAATATCCTTTTTCCCTTTTTATGTTCAAGTTCTTTTCTGTAAAACAAAGGCATTAACTAGAGTTATGCTTTCCAAACATTTTTCTTTGTTCTTTTGGAAAGAATATCTACTAAATGTCAGTTTTAATACTATAAAATAGATAAAAGTGTTATGCTAGCAAGACATTAAAAAAAACCTTTCCTCTAGATACTTAAAGCACAGCCGGAAAAAAAAAAATCTTAGTAGCACAGCATTTAAGGTGTTTCTTTTGCATGTAGCTTGCAGATAGTTTGATTCCCAGTACTACCAGTAGTGTTCCTTGAGCACAGAGCTAGCAGTGAGCCTTGAGCATCACTGGGTGTAGCTCCAAAAACAAAACTAAGCACCAGGGGGAAAAAAAAATCCAGGGCTCTCAAGAAGCCACAGGCGCAATAGCTAATAACATTTACCACTATTTCTATCATTCACTGTTTTAATCACCTTAAGTGAATTACCCAATTATATTCACAACAGGCCTATAATATTGGTAGTATTATTTTCTTCAATTTACAGGCAAGGAAAAATAGGGATAAGGATAGCACAATGGTTAAAAGTGTGCAGTCCAGAATGCAACTGCTGGAACATGAAACCTGGCTTTCCTACTTATTAATTGTGAGCTTGAAGAAATCACTTAAATTTCCCATGTTTTCACATCTAAAAAGAGGGGGAGAGGCTTAGAGATTGGGGCCTCAGCACTGACTTACACAGCCCCGTGTAATCACAGAGATCCCTGAACCCCAAGTCCTAACTCTGAGCGCTGGGCGTGCTAACAACAAAAGGAGAAAACTGAAAAGAAAGGGAGGTAATAGCTGTGTCCAAACTTAGGTTGCTGGACTAGATGAGTGGATAAATATGCCTATAATTATGAAGTCCTCCCCAAGTGGACACAGCTACGGAATAGGAGAGAAAAGACTTCAAAGTCACAACTTCTGGGTGTACATTTCTATTCTGCTAAAAGACTGAAAGCTTGACATGTAAACAAAAACTTGCTAAGGATTCCCCTTGTTAAGTAGAACGTTAGTTATAGACGATGATGCTTAATAGATTTTACCCCAACTAGTCAAATGTAAAGGCGACCCAGCTAGTTATCTTTAAAAAGTAAACATTTGGAACCCAATTTTAAAAGTTTCTGTTGAAGAGCTTCTTCACGATCTATATTGCATTTAGACAGCATCTCAGCAATGAAATGCCATGAAATAAATGTTTAATTACTTCTATTCTAGTGCGAAGTCTCAAGGTAGCTGAGCTAAGGCTGCTGCTACAGCAGTATCAGGAGAGCTCAGCTGCCCATTTGCAGATCGACTGATGCCAGGAGAGGCAGAGCCGAAAGAAAATACTGGAATTCTATCTGACTTTGCTGAGTGGATTTTGCTTTAAAAGAAAAAAATCATTTTGCTTAAAAAAAAAAGTTAAATCATATCATTTAAATTCAAGTACAAAACCACAATGCAGAGTATTTTGGAGGTTAGTCATGATTTGGCTCCCCTTTCTGCAATTTCCCATTGCCTCTGTGACAACCACAAGTTCAGGGGTACAACACAATGCAGACTTACCATTTTGTAAGTCCAAAATCAAAATGCAGGGTAGAGAATCAGTTTTAATGATTTGTCTAGTGATGTGAGATTGCCCTTTAATCTTCAAAGCCTGAGAGAGAGGCTGAATCTTGGTCTCAGAGCATTACACTGGTTCTTATTAGAACGACAATGGGCCTAGGAGATAATCCAAGCTAAGCTCCCTATTTGAAGGTTAGCTTCATCTGCATTCCAATTCCCTTTAGCCTTATACATAATATTCTCACAAGTTTCAGAAATCAGAACATAGATGTATCTAAGGGAACCATTATTCAGCTTTCCACACTATCCTAGGTTCAAATAACACATACTCATTATCAATGAAATCTTTATAATGACCACTACTATATTTTAACCTCTCGTGGAAATGTAACATTCACAGAATACAACATAATTTAATTTGCCTGCACTTAGCAATTCATGAATTAGTGCAGTTACTGAAACCTGGTTGAAGGCAGAGAAGGACCTTCCATTCTACCTTCCTTCCTTTTGTTTTTTTTTTCTCCAGGGTGCTAAGGGCTTAGATCTGGTTTTGCATCACTGCTGGAGGTGCTTGGGGGATCTTCTGCAGTGCCAGAGTTGGCCAAATGCTGAGCAAGGCTATACTACTTTATACTATTAGGATCCCTTTCTTTTTTTTTGAGGGGTTCCAGGGGTTCTTTTTTTTTTGAGCTTTCACCAGACCAAAGCATTTTATATAAATGTAGTGAAACTCCATTGTCTTTTTTCCCCCCTTCAGAATATGTAATGATGTTGCTAATGAGGAATTTTACTAGGAAGGCTACATAGTATGGTGCTAACTTTTCACACCTTTGGGCCAGGAAAAATGAAAAATTATGCGGCTGGAGAGATAGTACAGTGGGGAGAGTGCTTGCCCTCTAGGTGGCCACAGCCAGGAGTGACCCATGAATGCAGAGCCAGGAGTACTGCTGGGTGTGGCCCAACACCTCTCCCATGGCACCCCCCAAAAAGGAAATTTTGCAGGTGGCTAAGATAGAAACAAAACCCAATGAAGATAGCATTTATAGCATTTTTTAAAATTAAATTCAATGAAATTTGGTTTTAGCTAGTATGATACCTGCTGCTTGGCTGATACTTGATTGGTGGTGGTGGTGGTAGGGTGGTGTTTTTGGCAGACCTCCAGCAGTCCATGCTGATCATGAGATAAGGAACAGGGGTATATAAAACAGGGTTTTAAAAAGTGGGGGCCAGGAAAGTAGCTCAGTGGTAGAGTGATTGTCATGCCTGTGGGTGAGGCTGTGGGCTCAATTCCTGACACTTGGGGATGGAGGGAGGGAAGGAAAGAAACTTCAATTAAAGTCTGACAATAAAGTCATACACAAGGGATTACACTTCTCTCAGCCTCAAGTTTTTTCACCTGTGAAATGGGGATGATGAGGACAGGGGCGATGGTTCAAAAATGGGAGCACATACTTTGCATGCTGGGGCTGTATTCCTAGCACCAGGACCAACTCTGAGCACCTACTACTCCCCGTACTCTGGGGTGTGGCCCAAAAAACTAAAAAAAGAAAATGGGAAAAGGGCCAGAGATAGTACAGGAGGTGAGGCGTTTATGCGGCAAACCAAGTTCCATCTACTGCATCACGCAGGGTCCCCCACACCATGGCCAAGAGTGATCCATGAATATACAGAGCCAAGGGTAAGCTCTGAACACCCCGTAGTAATGCTCTACCCTCTGACCCCTGGGGGTGGGGAGGGAAAAAAAGGGGTAAGACAACTTATTTCAGGTTTTGTTTATTGTAAGGATTAAATAGGAACACACATTTCTGGGCATGGTCTTACACAAGTAACTTTTTCTCATGTTAAGTAGCATTCATTTTGCGATTCCAAATCAATCTCAATATTCCCAAGATTTGCTTTACACCAGATGATCAAAGAATCTACAGGAAGTGCCTGTTTTCATAACAGAATTATTGGTAGAGTGTATAGAATATGGCACAATTAAAGAGAAATCAATGTAAACTTCCCATGCTACATCCAAAGCAAACTGGGCTCCGTGAAAGAATTGGGACTTAAGACATGATTAGAGAAAGCAAAATACAGAGTATTAAGGTCTGATTTTCTTTTTTCCATTAAATAAAATCCAAAAAGCAAACAAAACCCAATCCAGATATAAAATGAATATCCATATGTAATCCACATGTACTGTGGTGAGGGGTGTGGGGATTCAGGAGCCCTGTTGACCCAGGCTGAGGAGGTCTCTGAGTACAGCCTAGTACAGTGACTTTCAGACTATCCCGAGTCCCTAGAAGTTCAACAAAACTTTGCAGATCCTTCCCTTAATTTAGTATGCTTTACTAGACCTCTGGATGAAACGATTATGTGTGGACCATTCTAAGAGTTCACAATTCTGAATTCAGGCAGTAAAAAAGAAAAATGTGTCTTTTTGAGAAACACATCAGCGGCTATAGAAATCTGATTAGGCCCCATTCGGCATTGTTTTAGTAATGATTTGGACATAACCTAGGACACAAAGTACCAATTACACCCACAAACCTTATCACCATCAACTGTGTGGTGAGCACTAACATAATAATACCTGCACTTTTCCTGTACCTAAGGAGCTAATTTCACGTTACAGGTATTATCTCATCCCTTGACGTTTGAACCCTGAAGGCAGGTTTGGAGTGAACTAATTTGTATGCCCAGTTTTTCACTGTCTGGACATGGAGATACAGCAAATGATCTTCTTTTTCTTGTTTTGGGGTCATACCCGGCGATGCTCAGGGATTACTCCTGGCTCTGCACTCAGGAATTACTCTTGGCAGTGCTCGAGGGACAATATGGGATGCCCGAGATTGAACCCGGATTGGCCACGTGCAAGGCTAGTGCCCTACCCGCTGTACTACCCGCTCCAGCTCCCACAGCAAATGGTTTTCTCAAGGGCACACAAGACGCAGAGACGGAGCCCAGAACTCAAGCAGCAGTATTTATGGGGCCCCACCCGGCGGTACTCAGGAATCACCCCTGGTGGGGTCTGGGGAATCCAAGCCGGGTCAGCCGCGTTTGCGCAAGGCAGTGCCTTTCCCCGCTGTACTAGCTTTCCGGCATCTAGAAATAAGTTTTTTTACCCTTGAAATCAGGCTGCCTTAACGAGATGAGGATCCAGCCTCCATCCACGAGAAATACGTAAAACTGCACAAAGAACACGATCGCGAGCACATGAGCAATCGAAGCTTGCGGGGGGCGGAGGGGGGCTGGAGAAACACAACGTAAGCCCCCAGAAAAAAAGCCCACCGCGGTGCGGGTTCTTCCCGCGTTCGGGGTTTGCAACCTCGAGCCGGAGGGTCACGGCCCCGACCGGCCTCATCCCCGACCTCCCCGGGGTTCCGAGTCGCGCTCCGGGCCCGCGTGCACGACCCCGCACGGGTCCAGCCCCTCACCGAGAGTCGCGGCCGGGTCTCCGCTCGCGGCCCACGGCAGACACTGGCAAGAACGCGCTCCCCGGCCGCTCGGCTCGCACGCTCGGGCCGGCACCGCTCGCCCGGCAGGAAACGACGCAACGCGCAGCCGCCGCGGCCTCCAAGCCCCGGGCCGGCCGGGGGACGCCGGGCCGCTCCCGGCGCACTCGGGGCCGCCGGGCGGACGAGGGCGCGGGCGCCCCGCGGCTCCGCGGCCCGCGAGGTCAGTCGGGAGCGGTGTCAGCCCGCCCGCCCGCGAGAGCCCGGCCCGGGGCCGCCGCGCCCGCCCCGGCCCGAACGCCGCTCCCCCGCTCGGCGGCCACGGGGAATGGAACCGTCCGCGGGGGGCATTGTGGGAGGCGCGCGCGGGGCGGGGGCGTGTGGGCGGGGCGGCGGCGGCGGCGGCGGCCGGGGCGGCGGTTGGTGGCCGTGGGGGCGGGGAAGGGGGGCGGAAAGGAGAGCTGGAGGCGGAGGAGGCGGAGGAGGCCCGGGCTCGCGCCGCCGGAGGTACGTGTGGGGGCCCGCGCCCGCGCCCGCGCCGGCCTGACAGGGGCCGAGGAAAAGTGGGGGGCGCGCGGAGGCGCCCCGGAGCGCGCGCGACCGGGCTGGCGGGCGCGCAAGGTGGCCGGAGGCGGCGGTGGGTGGGAGCGGCGCGCGGCCGGCCCAGACCCGCTCTCGGGCGCGTGCGGCGGCCGCGGGGGGGGCGGGCCGCGGGCGCGGAGGGGGCGGGGGACGGTGCGGGGCCCGCGGCGCGCTCCGCTCCCTCCCTGCTGAGCGCCGCCGCCGCCGCCGCGCCGCCGCCATCTTGAGCTGGCTCGGCGGAGGGGGAGCTGCTCTCCGTCTCGGCCGGCGGGACCCGCCTCCCCGCGCGGCCCCCGCGAGCCCCACGCCTTTCCCTTCTCCGCGCTCCATTTCCGCCCGCCCGCCCGCGGGCCGCCGCCTGACCAGCGGGAGGGCCGGGCGGCGGGCGAGGCGCGCGGCGGCGGCGGCGGCGGCGGCGGCGGCGGCCGCCCCCCTCGGCTCCCCACTTGCCTGCGCGCCCCGCGCCCGGCGGCCGCGGCCTGAGACGCGACGAGCGCGGCCGCCCGGGAGGCCTCGGGCCTACGCGCTCCCGCTCGGCGGCGCCGCCCGCCGCTTCCTGGGAGCGCCTGTCACCTCCGGGACCCGGAGCTCCGGCAGCGCGGGGGTAAGGATGGGGGAGGGGAGCCCGCGGCGCCCGCGCGGTCGTGCCCCGCGGGGCGAGGGGGACCCTGACAGCGGGCGGCGGGCGGGGGAGGGCGCGGGCGCGCGGGGAGGCGGAGCCGCCGGCCGGGGCCCCTGACAGGCTCGTGGGTGCTGTGGTGGCGCGGCGGGAGCACCCCCCGAGGCGGCTGCGCGTCCGTGCTCGGGGCTCCCGGGTGGGGGCGGGGGTCAGGTCGGCGGCTTGCCCGGCTTGCCCCCGCACCCCTCGCGGCGCCGTTGCCGCTTGGCGGGTGGGAACGCCAGCGCCGTGGCGGCCTTTTAGGAAGTTGGAAGGGATGCGCTGGGCTAGTCTGTGCGGGAGATGCCGCGAGGACGGAGGGGGATGTCGGCGGGTCGCGGCTGCGGGGGCGCGTGGGGAGGGCAGAACGCGTGCCCCGGGGTGCCCCAAACGCAACTTGGGCGGGGGGGTCCCGTGCACCTGAGGGGGTGCGGGTTTTTCAAGGAAGGGGGCCGCGGGAAGTCTCGCGGGACGGGGCATCGCATGGGGCGGTGTTTTAGGGACCAGGAGCAGGTCGGTGTGGGGTCCCGGGCACACCTGCTCCGGCGGCTTGAGCGCTCGTAGCCCAGTAGGTAGGTCCCTCCAACTGGTGAGAGTCGTGCGAGTGTGGAGGCCGGAACTTGGCGACGTGCGCGAGCCCTCGGAGAGTGAGGGAGCGGGTGGCGTTGTGTTGACTTGAGTGGACAGGAAGACTTGCTCGCAGAGGGAAGCCCTTCTCTCCTGCCGGGTGCTCTTTCCGCGTGTCTTTGTGATCCAAATCTTTTTGCGAGAATGGCAGGGGTTTTCCTCGGTTCACAAAATCGGAGGTTCAGGTGTACCAGGTAAATTCCCCAAGGTCACATCCCGGTGGGACGCTGCTGTGTCGCCGCGCGTGCAGTCGTGGCTTCAGCGTCCCGTGCAACGGGGCCGACAGGCTGGTCGAGCGCGCAGACATGTGAGTGCTGTAGGTAAGTTTGTCCTTGCCAGGCCAGCCAGAATGGAACGGGTTTCCCTGACAGTGTTAGGTTTCCATTAGTAGAGAAAATGAGGGCATTTCTAACACTTTTTAGCTTCAGTGTTGGGAGTGTTTTTCGTAGTTTAACTTGGACCGGAGCACAGCTGCATTGGGGGACTGACAGCTTAACTTTGAATCTCTAGGAGGGAAACATCATTCATTTCACAAATAAATATTGCGTGATAATTCTGTAAATATGCCCAGCTTTGGGGTGACAATGATCATGACTGTGGAAATAACTCGGATAACATACACGTGAGGGGACTTCTCTTGAATGTTTTGTGTGTTAAGTACTGTGGAATTGAAACTAGAAAATCTTCCTAAAAAGTCTATTTCAGGGGCAGGAATGTGGCTCCGTGGTAGAATACTTACTCGTATGAGGCCCTGAGTTTGATCCACAGCATGGAAATAAATATACAAATGTTTATTCACATTAGATCAAGTCATTTTACTTATTTTATTTTGTCCGTGGTACCCTTCCTAGAGCTTCACGAATGCAAGTCATGTGCTGTACAGCTGAACCATATTGCCGGCCCTCCCTGCATTTTAATGCTGAAGGATACTGAAAAATCTAAGAATCTAACAAAGTGGCTGTTTGTGATAGAGTGTGCCTTCGTTTCCATTTATGAGTAAACTTTTTGGGATCTGGGACTTTGTTGGTATATGTGACTGGCTAGTTAAACTTTTTGGCTCGACTGAATGAATTCTTCAAAAAACAAGCTTGTAGTAAGGATTATGCTTTATGAAAATGAAGGAATGAACTAGGCCAATTTAACTATTTTTCTGGACAAAGTAATATTTTTGATGTGCTAGATTAGTTGTGCTTAAATTTTTTTGTCAAGTATTCTTTTAGAATTTGATGAAAGACCCTTATTGTAGAAAATGCATGCAATTTCAAGAACTTAATTTCAAGAACAAATTATGCATACAATTTCAAAAGCTTAATATTGAAGAAGAATCAGTTTATATTCAGGTTTCATTTTTCCCCTCTTAATAGTTTGAGGTTGGAGATTCTGATGTGAGTTTAAGATAAAAAAAAAAAAGTCTGACAGTTTAAACATGCTGATAGTGATAGTAAGGAGATTCTTTTTATTTATTTGGAATTTGGACCATTCTTGGCTCTACTCAGAAGTCACTCCTGGTGGTGCTCAGGCAACTGATGTTATGGGATCTAACTGGGTTGGAAAGCATGCACTATGTCTCTGGCCTGGAGATTCATTTTTTTAAGTTTATGTACCATTAACTTAAAAGGGTACCCATATCCTAAAGTACCAGGGTACCGTGCCCTCCAGCCCTTACTAAAGGGTCTCTTAGGCCCTAGAGTTACCTGGCCAAGTTTCAGGGATTACTCTTGGCTCTGCCTTTAGGAATTACTCCTGGTGGTGCTCTGGGGACCATATGGGATGCCAGGGATTGAACTGAGCCTGCCAAGCACCCTACCTGCTCTACTCTCTCACTCTGTGTATGCAAGGAATATCAAGATGAATAGTATATATGGCCTTTGTCTTTAAAGAGGAACTAATACAATTGAAACTATTAATTACATGATGATGAGGGGCTTTCTAAAGGGTAAGGGAAGCATATTCCTGCAAATTGAAGTATAATGAATGAATGTTTTTGCCTTTAGTGGTTAAGCTAGGCTTGATACTTTACTTGCAACTTTGTAGCTTTGTAATTGTTTCATAGTATCATCTGATGATTTTGGAACTATTAGGTTGGAAAGGAGGCAAACATGGGGTACCTTAGACTTACTTTGAATATGCTTGCATGCTGTTTCAGGATTCAAACCAAGGTCACAGGCAAATGTTAGGTAAGTGCCTTAATCTTTGTACTGTTTCTTGGACCCTATAGTGAGCCTTAATATAATTTTCTTTATATGTAAAACTTAGCTATTTGAAAAACTATGAGTCTGCTGTAAGTTAAAAATAATTACTGCCTAGAGGCCAGAGAGATAGTATAGTGGATAAGGCACTTTCCTTGCTGTCAGAGCAATGTAAGGTGCTTGCCTTTCAAGAGACCAACCTGGGTTTGATCCTTGGCACCACGTATAGTCACTTGAGCACTGCCAGGCGTGATTCCTAGAGCCAGGTGTAAACCTTGCACAGCCAGGTATTGCCCCACCCCTCAAAAAAGGGCACTTTCTTTGCATGCATCTCATACAGTTTTCCCTTATACCACATAGAGAGTAGTCCTTGAGCACCGCTTGGTGTTACCTAAAAACCTAAACAAAACAACCAAAAATAATAATTACACTTAAAAAAATTCTTACAAAGGTAAATAAAGGTTAGGAGTCAGAGAGATAGTACAATGGGTTAAGGCACTTGCCTTGCATGTTCAGTCCTCAGCACCACATATGTTCCACTGAGCCCTACCAAAAGTGATCCCTGAGCACAGAGCCAGGAACAAGCCCTGAGCACAGCCACACTTGCATTGCTTAGGAACTGGCATTGTGATGATGGGGATGTGGGGAGGAGAAGGGGTGGTTTCTTCTGAAGGTGCTTGGGGACCATGTGGTGTGAAGAACTAACCAGATTTCTTGCATAAAAAGATTGTGGTTGAACTGTCACCCTGGCTTTTATGGAGAGAGATCTTAAAAGATTTTATTGTCATGATCTGTCACTGTCACTGTCATTGTCACTGTCCTCCCATTCATCAATTTGCTCCAGCGGGCCCAGTAATGTCTCCATTGTGACAATTGTTACTGTGTTTGGCATAGCTCGACAGGCTTTGCCGCGCCGGCGAGATACTCTCAGTAGCTTGCTGGACTCTCCGAGAGGGGCGGAGGAGTCGAACTCGGGTAGGCCATGTTGACTGCTTGCAAGGCAAACGTCCT